ACCAAGGGCGGCGTAAGGCATGGACGACGTGGGCCACCGCCTATGCCTCGCAGTCCGAAGGGCCTCGCGCCTCGAAGGTTTATGCATTACTTAAAAGCTGTGAATGCGATGAAAAAATTTTAGTCGTCATAAAATGATAAATAGTTTGTCAAATTTTTATTCATAAAAATGCAGTTTCAATTGCTTTTTATTTTATAAAATCCGTCTTCTTGCACCACCAGAGGGCCTTTTAAACAATAGGTAGTCTGTTAGCGTTGGTCAGTAGTAGTCCAAATTCAATATGAACGTTTGTTTCTTGAAAATTTGATCATGATTTAAATACAGTATTTACTTTTAATATTACTGATATGTCATCGAAAAAAAATTTGTTGTGTTATCATTAAAAGACAAATTAAAGTATTTGTTTTGATTATCCGGATTTTTCCTTATCCAGACTACCTTCATCCCCCATTAGTCCGGATAATCGAGGTTTTACTGTATTTCTAGTAATCATATTATCATATTGGCAAACATATAAGGCACATGTGGTTGAAGCAAAACAAAGTAATTACCCTATATAAATCTCATATTATTTATAATACACTTCATGTTTTTGTCATTAAGTAAAACCTTGATTTAAATTAACAGACTGATTCGGGCAAAGGGGTGTCCATTAAAGCTGAAAGTCTTTATAATAAAGTAGGTTTTCCAAATGCATATGTTAAAAAATTGACAAATTAGTTTATTTGTTTTTACTTATGTAGATGCATTTGTGTAACTAAAATTAAATATGTTTGAGAAGTTTAATATGTGAGATCTAGAAGTTAATTGGAAAAAATTATAACAACTACTTGTTGATATGTGGGAACGTCAATATGTAAACAATTACATGGTGAGAATCTAGTCATCCAGTTTAATCTAATTCTCACTGCTCTAGACGGCCCAGCAATGACACATTCAAGGTGTCATCATTAGAAAACATAAGGTCATCTGATTGAATTTCCACACCTAAGTGTATAAATTTTTTTTTTTTGGATTTGATCAAGTTTTGACTAATTATTATTTTTCTTATCAGGTATCATGCATTAAATTCTAAATACAGTGGATGATTGATTAATGAACATAATCTGTTCCAAGACTTTGTTCATTAACCAATTATCAATTTACCATAGGTTTTTATGAGAATTTGATTAATTCATTCTGGAGACCCCAAAAAATAAAAAATATATACTTTCTTACTATGTTTGTTTATATATAATAATAAAAATACATATATACACAGTCCTGCATTTTTATTAGTCATGTTTTTTCCGTTTATGGGAGTTAAAGAATCTATATAGTCGATTGTTTTTCTTCTTCAGGATTTTTCAGAAATAATTAATAGCATTATAATTGTAGAGATCTGTGAACATATTAACCTCAACCTGGATGCCTGTCTAAGACCATTTGTCGGGATAAAATCGTCTGAACGTACGATTCCTGTGCTTTTCCTTCTACTCGAATTGGGCAACAGTTATCGTCATGAAAACGCGGATCAGGCGATGACAGTGGTTTTTAAACTCGACCGTGGATTGGCTAGAAAACATCGTACAATCAGCAGACGTCCGATAGCGCTACTAAGTGCTGATTGGTGGACTTACATTTGTCTCAATCCATATAAAAGGATTGAATTTAGGTGGGAGTTTTGAGTTTGCCTAAGACATATCCAGGGAACTCTGGTTGATCAGACGTCATCGAAGTACGTCGGAGTGCATCTTAACTCCATTAATTAAATCAGCGGATCTGCTGAAGAAGTTGCTTCGTCTCACCAACTTGTTAATGACTTTGTCGCAAGGAGTCCTTTTCAACGGACATGTTGTTGTGGTTTAATTGACATTTGAATTTTGCTATATCTGAATTATTGTAATTGTTTTATTTTTGTGAACTTCATAACTGTATGTAAGTTTTAATCGTTAATATAAACGTTTGTGAATTGTGAACTAAGTGGTTTTTGAACTTGATTCCATTGTTCTGACATCCTTCCACTTCTTCAAAAGATATTTAATAGCAGATATCAGCATTAATCCTCTTTTTCAGAAGAAAACATATGTCGTCAAGTTTCTTGGTGTTCTTCATTCAAGAGTTCTTGGCATTCTTCTGTCGTCAGATCCGTTTCAGATTCCATTATGAGCTCTTCAATATTCTTTATTTCTCAGATGTGATTTTTGTTACTCCTTTAGCTGCTTGAGTCTTCTTGATTATACTGTATGTTTCTTAGATA